CATGTCAGACTTTTTGTACACAAACTGTGATTATTCAACAGAAGTGGTCCCTCTTTTAGGTACAAGCTCCTCCTTTTGTCTTGGGTGGTCAGAAACCTTCTCAGAATTGCCCAGTTCTGTGTCACATTCACTCTCCTTATGGACTGTTTCATTCTTGAAAAGCTTTCTGTTGGCATTGAGCTTTGTTAATGTTTTGGTTCAGCTTCCACCTTCCTTCAACCTTCACCTCTCCATTATCAGCATTAGGAACACAATTATGTTTTTAAAAATGTACTAAAAAACAGTGTTAAAGTTTGTGTAACATTGTTTATGTTCAAGTAAATGTTATATTTTTGATGTAAGTTGATTCAGTGTGAAGTTGAATGAAACTGACAAAGTTGCCATTGTTAGTCAAGATAAAGAATAAATCCAAGTAAGAACAATTTAAAAATATTAGTCCACTTAACTTGAAATGGCAGTTGGTATGGATAAAGTTAAAGTTCAAAAATGGCAAAGCAAACTTGTTTTTGCAAAACAGAAAAAAAAATTCAACAACAACATAACAAACCATCAGAATATACACAACCAAACAAAACTCAGACTATTCAGATTACATCCCGGTTTATCCAGAGTCAAAATATTAACCATTTGTGTGAAAGTTATAACTGCTGTGTAAAGTCTTGAGTTATTGCTAAAAAGTGTTTGGTGAGGTCACACTGACCTTGACACTTGACTTTTGACCACCAACATTTAATCAATGTCACATATACTGTGAGTTTGGATAGAAAACAGCATAGGAATGATTGGTATACACGGCTCCATTACTTGAGTTAAAGTATAGGTCCTTCTGGTCAAATATTACTCCAATAGAAGTGAAAGTTGTTTACTTGAGTTAAAGTACCGGAGTACCTGCTTTTGAAAATACTTAAGTATTTAACTTTTTTTTATGTCAACACATACATACATTTACAGAACTAATGACTTCGAAACAACCTACTAAATGCATTGACTTACTGTAGAACCTGTAGAATAAAAAGCTTGAAGAATATGATACAAAGCCTGTAGAAATGGCCATGAAAACACAAATCAACAAAAGGACAGCCATTGTCAATTTTGTATTTAACATGCCCATCACCCCAGAAAACAGCATGACAGCTCTGGCAGTGTGTGTGTGTGTGTGTGTGTGTGTGTGTGTGTATGTGTGTGTGCGTGCGTGCGTGCTTCCATAGGAAAAAAAACAAACAAAACTAAAATTATCCCTCCATGATTGTATCCCTCCACCAACCACACAAGTTGCAGGAAATATGGTCACAATCATAATCTCCCCTTCCTGAGTTACAAGCAATGAATAATGGCCAGAAGTGTTTTTGCAGAATATTATGATGTCACAGTGAAGTTGACCTTTGACCTTTTGGATATAAAATGTTATCATTTAATTCTATCCTTTAGGCATTTGAGTTAAATTGTGTCATAATTAGTTTATGAATGTGTGAGTTATGGCTGAAAATGTGTTGAAAATTTGAAGGAAATCTCTGAAGGCATTATTGAGATATCGTGTTCACATTTTATTAGGTCACAGCGACCTTGACCTTTGACCTTTGATCACCAAAATGTAATCAGTTCATTCTTCAGTGCTAGTGAATATTTTTGTCAAATTTGAAGAAGTTCTGTCGGATATAGTGTCCACAAGAATGGAATGTACGAACAGTTGGACAACCCGAAAACAATATGCCTCTGGCTCTGACTGTCACAGGCGTGGAGGCATAAAAACTGATCCTGCTGACTCTTTTAAGTGAAGTAAAGTAAAAGTCATAAGTTTCCAAAAAAATAATACTGAAATATAAATAAATAAAGTACAGATACTGTACATTTACTCACTAAGTTTACTACTTAAGTACAATTTTGAGGTATTTGGGCTTTACTCTTTTATTTCCATTTTATGTTACTTTATACTTCTACTCCACTATATTTCAGTACTTTCTGCTCCACTACATTTATTGGATAACTTTAGTTATGAGTTACATTTATGATGAAGATTTTACACAATGGATAATACAAGACAAAGATAATACAATACAACACATTGTTAGAGATTTAACCAGTGGTTACCAATGTTTTTGTCTTGTGACATCTTACAAAAAGCAGTCAAGGTCACATTTCTGATGTCTATCAGTTTTTAACAGCTCCACATCTTTTTCCTCTCTAAACGTCTCACATGGTTTCATTTCAATAAATGTTCTAATGATCCAATATCTCACCAAAAATCTGAGATCAGAGGAAAAAGTCCAAAAACTGAAAACAGATTTGTGTATCAGGGCTATTGAGCTCTTCTCTCCACTCCCATTAATCATCTCAGGACCCCTCAGAGTTATCTGGTGACCCTGTGAATAAAACTGTATATAAAGTAGCATAAAATACTGTCAAGTTTACAATTGTTCATTGTTAAGTGTATTTAAGTGATACATATTTTTAATGACACAATGTCCAGATTTGTTACTGCCTAACTTAAGCAAAGTTATAACTGTTAGTGATAGTCACAGAAGTACAATCAAAGAAGCCCCCCAAAATTTCCATTTACAGTGTAGGGAAACCTTAAAATTTCAGGTAGCTCCCCGGTTTGATTGGACCAACGTGACCTGGAAGAAGGTCACACAGCTGGCACAGCATACTGTATCAATATGTTAAGACATTTTCAATTAAGTATGCTTCACCAGCATGAATGTCTTATTTCCAAAGTGTCAAGGATGATACAATTCGATAATGAGATGAGAAAAAAACAAATTTAGTAAGTCAAATAAAATAAACAGGTTTTTAAAATGGCAAAGATGAACAGATAAAACAGTAAACGTGTGTGTGTGTGTGTGTGTGTGTGTGTGTGTGTGCTATGTCAAGACAACTATTTGTAGTCCAAATAATCCAAATTCTAATTACATGAATCCAACATTCCCTGCTGACGAGCCATTTTAATAAATAAATAAATGTGCTAATTAAACACTTGGCTAAAACTTGTACATCAAACGTCAATGTGACTATATGTCGTAAATTAGGATTTAGTGGTGAAGCCTGACGAAAGGCAGCAAGGTCCTTAGGCAATATTGTTACTTTTCCACAACTGGCTGCCTTTGGGAACATTCATTATCTTGTCAGTCTCAGTGTTTTCTGCTCGAACAGGCCATGTGGTTTCCGTGGCCGCTTATCTGCAGAGATCTTCTAATGGCTGGGTCTAAATAGATGTTCAACAGGTTGTCATAGCAACTGGGTCTGACTAATGATTAATTTCAGCCATAAAATTAAACTGTAGGCTGTAAATTGTCATTGACTGTACATTCATACTCTATTATAATTATGTGGTATGAATTTTGCTGCTCTTACATTTTCAGTATAAGTCAAATATGTGACAAGGGGCTTAGGTTACTACATGTTTTTAATCATGCCCACATTTCTACAGGAAAAAACATGTCAATCTTTTGAACATTTAGTGAACACATAGTTTTCATCCACACTGTTTCATGGGCAGACATCAGCATGGTTCATTTAAGGTTTGGATTTCAGGGAATATAAAGTGCCAAAACTACTGTTTACCAGACACTTAGAACCATACAGTGACTAATCAGATAATGAAATGCAGCTGGCCAGTAGCAGTAATTAAAGATTTCACTGAGGACCTCTGGAGGACAGAGAGGGAAGTGACAGAAAACTGGAGAGGGGGCCTACATTGAAATAAATTGTATGTTTTGTTGTCTTATGATTACAGAATAAGTATGTTTTAAATTATCTATTTTAAATGCAGGATTTTTACATGTAAAACAGAATAAGTGAAGAAAGAAAATACTGAGTAGTTTTACACAAATACTACTGCAGTTTTCCAAAAAATTGTTCTTCTTTGAAAAGCCCAGAAGGTTGTTAAACATCCCTCACCACTGTCCTTCAGGTATTTTCAGTCTTTCATCTCCTCTGACCATCTGGATGGAAAGATATTCAGTTTGCTGCATGGTATAAAATCTTTTCATCTATTTTCCTAGTTCCACCATTGTTGCCCAATTCAAACAAAGATGGTAGCTGGAAATGACAAATTCTCGGTTGGTATTTGTGAAACATAATTTTATAGATGTGTTATCATTATTGTTACATTGTATTATTTTTATATAATCACAACTCAGCAAACAGGCTAAAAATATTTTTTATTGTGCAGCAAATAGAAGATTGTTGAGAAAATATATGCAGAACAGCATTAGATCCTTTTAAACAACCTTCTGCATTTTTTCATTTTTGTCAATATTTGTCCAAAAAACAGATACCTACCTCTTTGACTTGAATTATTATTATAATACTAGAGGAGGGGTAAAGCCAGGAGCTTATGGTGACTGAGGGTTAGACAATAAACAACATCCTGCAGCATTTTTAGGCCCCCATGTTGGCGACAGCCAAGGCTAGGAGCGTTATGTTCTTGGGTTGTTCTTGGTAACTCCTCAAGGGAATTCCTTCAAATTTGCCACAAATGCCCATTTGGACTCAAGAATGAACTGATTCGATTTTGGCAGTCAAAGGTCAAAGGTCAAGGTCACTATGAACTAAAAAAACATGGTTTTGGCCTCTTGAATGCGATATCTCAAGACTGCCTTGAGGGAACTTCTTCAGATTTGGCACAAACATTGACTTTAACTCAACAATGAACTGATTACAATGTGGTGGTCAAAGGTCAAACATCACTGTGACCTCACAAAACGCGTTTTCATCCAAAACTTATGAATTCATACACCAATTATGATACAATTTAAAACAAATGTCTAATAAGATAAAATTATGAAGTGATGACATTTTATATCCAAATGGTCAAAGGTAAAATTCATTTTGACATCATAATATTCAGCCAAAAACTTCTGGCCATATTCAATGCTTGTAACTCAGGAAGAGGAGGTTGTGACCATATTTCCTGCAACTTGGGTGGTTGGTGGAGGCATAAAACTGTGAGGTGATAATTCTAGTTACCTAAACACATTGTCTTGATGTTATTTCAATAGGGTCTTTGAACCAAGGCAGACAGAGACCACTGTTCGCAAGGAGAGGACAGTATGAAAGGCAGAGTGTCCCGGTAAGCTGGAGATCTGTACAAATGTGTGGTTTACCTTCTATTGTTCATGCGCACAATGAAAACAGCTTAATGACTTAAATGCTGATTAACGGTATCCCCTTCAATAAATGTGTCTTTTTGAACCATAACAGATTCAAAAATCTTAAGGTGAGACAAAACGCTCCAGAGGAGTCAGACTCTGAAGTTGATGCTCTCTCTTCCTATTCTCTCCACCTTCCAGAAATCCAGAGTGGTTCCTGCCTCTCCAAATCGCTCCCCTTCTCCTCCTCCTCCTCCCCCTCCTAAAGTGACACCCAAACCTGTGGAGTTCAAGTGCTCGTATCTTAAACAAAGCTGTTTACCCCAGTCTGGCTGCTGTGAACCATATGCAACATGCCACTGCCGCTTCTTCAATGCAATCTGCTTCTGCCGGAGGACAAAGTGACAATACGAGAAGAAATCATAAAACGCAGTGGCAAGCATTAATGATTGGTGTCCAAGCAGATTGGGAGCATTTGGATGCTTGTTTCTTATTTAATTGTTAATGAAATGTTGTTTTCATGAATACAAGATGAACTAATAAAACAGTCAGCCCAATAACTTGAAGATTTAGCGTTTAGACCAGGGGCTTGGAGGCTACTACAAAGCAAGTTCAATATACCCAGGATGTCTTTTGATTATCTGGCTGCACTACGCCTAACACCGAGAACACACTGCTTGTGTTGCGTGTGCGTGGCGGCTGCATCACTGCTGCTGCCAACTCTATTTCTCCACATAAGGTTTGCAGGCTACTTGAATTTTGATTTATCTTCTTTATAAATTAATTTTTTGACAGAAAAAGTCACTACAATTCTACTGTCTCCACATGCAGCTGCTGAAGTGGTTAAAAAACATATTTATATTTTTTCATATCTGTGACATATTCAGATTCAGCCAAGACATAGACAATGATAGTGGAAGGTTTCAGTTGTATGTAATGTTCCTGGTATGATGTCAGTAGACCTATGAACCCTGTCTATTTTTGCTGGGAACCGCACATGTATGAAAAATAGGCAAGATGCCAAATCTCTAGATCATGCAACGCAGCCACAAGGTGCAAGACACACTCTAACCCATTATCATTAGGGCGCCACATTGAAAACCAAGATGTTTCCGCAGCCGCCACGCCACACAGTCAGTGTGTTCCCAGCCTAACAACCGTGGTCACACTAAGCAGTCATGACTGAAACTCAGCCCTTTAGAAGTACATATTTACCAGCAGTCACTTCCATGCCATTTCCAAGCTGCTGCTCTGTACTGATAAAATTCGGATTGTATAACCAGTGTCATCTGACAAAATTGCACACAGACAAAGTCTGTGCCCTGATTTTAGATCACTTTATCTTTATCTTTCATATTTAGTCTCTCACAAAGCGCACAGCCTGTGTCAGGGTAACAGTATGTTGCTCTGCCACTCACTGAATGGAATAGACGCAGAGGGAGAGGTGTGCCTCTTGCTCACAGGGCAGCACTGGCAACTCTCTTCCAAAAAAAGAAACTAAAGTTTGTCCAAATAATTACTAGATTTTTCTTTTCATTAGGTGTTTTTTTGTAAAAAAAAAAAAAAGTTTCTAAATCTAGCAACAAAAGTGCTAAGTTGGCAACACTGCAGGCTGTAAACACCCCCCTAATTGAAACTGTTTGTGCCAATCCATTTTGAAGGAGCATGGCCAACCTCCCAGTGAGATTATACTAACTCTCATATTAACCATGGAGATCCCTGAGTAAATTGTTGAAAATGGCCCGCTAGATCACAATATTTTTAGTGTGTGTTATTTTTATTTCACCTAGTCTTTTTTTGGGCCCAAGTGGCAGTCAAGAAATAATTTTCTTTTTTTTTTTATTCAGCTAAAATTTGTGTCCATTGCAAATGCAACTAAAAAGGAAAAAAAATATTTTTTTCTCTTTTAATTTTCATACAATATATCAACAGAGAAAGAAAAAAAATGATGGTAGATTGTACATCTTTTCATGGGCGTTTGGGTTCGTTATTCGTTTATTCTGGAGTGTTGATGCGTAGCCCACTTCAAATATATTGCCTCTGATATGTTGACGTCTTTTTGGTAATTGACCATACGGTTTGAAAATTTCAGTTAATGAACATTTGCGTTTATAGGGCTGGCCCCACTGTTGTGGAATGAAGAAGACAGGACAGCCGTCCTACACAGGAGACCACTCTTGAGTACACTCTTGACCATAACCTGCTCTGGAGTAGGTAATGTCTGCAATTTACTGCTTTGTAGTACAGGCCTCAGATGAAGTAAGGCAGAGACAGGGTTTGAACCCTCAACCTTTGGACTGAGAGACAAGCTCCTTTCTTAGTTAACTGGCAAAATCAGTGTTGAGTGCATGTATGTATGAACAAAAAATATGGAATGTTAACTCTACATAGTTTTGACAAACAGGATAAAATATATATTGAATTAATGTTACAGTTTAGATACTTAGGTTAATTGTATAGCTACTTTTAGCACAATTTAATGTATATTTTTCAAAATGGAGATGAACAGAGTATTTCTCAAGTGTATGGTATTGTCTGTGCTCATCTGTATTCATTTGATTATTCAATTGAGTCTGGTCTTAGATACTTAATGAGTTTGAAATTATATGCATGTACATGTATCTCTTATTTATTCATGAATATAATCCATTGTTAAAGTTTGGCATGGTCCTCAAGTTGAAGTGTAATTTTAGTGTTTGTTTTTTTTTTCAATGTATGTGTATTTTATGTTCATTTTTATTATTTCCTACATTGTAGAGCGATGCTGACGGTATCAAAAATACATAATAACACATGTGGGGTTATGTAGTGTGTTTTGAGTCATTGTCCTGTTGAAAAAGAAATTATGGTCCCACTAAGTGCGAACCAGATGGGAGGGCATGCTGCTGCAGAATGCTGTGGTATTGATGCTGGTTGAGTGTGCCTTTAGTTTAGAAGACATCATCAACAGTGTTACCAGCTCTTCCTTGGTCTTCCTTTCCTGCGACGGTCCTAATGAGAGACAGTTTCATCATCGTGTTTAATTCAATTAATTAATTAATTTAATTTTCCAGATTGACTGACCTTCTTGTCTTAAAGTAATGATGGACCATTGTCTCTGTTTACTTAGTGGAGCAGTTCTTGACGTAATATAGATAAGTGCTGTTGTCCAGTAGGGCTATTAACTGTATACCAACACTACCACAACACAACTGATGGTCTCAAACACATTAAGAAGGCAAGAAATTCCACAAATTAACTCTTGACGAGGCACACCTGTTAATTGAAATGCATTCCAGGTGACGACCTCATGAAGCTTGTTAAGATTTTGCAACGCTTACATCAAGATAAATGGTGAATACTTTAAAGAAAAGAAAATATGAAACACTTTGATTTTTTTTCAAAACATTTTTTCATTTACTACATAACTCCATATGTGTGATTTCATAGTTTTGATGTCTTCAGTCTTGCTCTACAATGTAGAAAATTTTTGAATACATTTCTTTATTAAACTTTTTGCATGGTGTTGATATTTTTAAACAATTGACATGTAATTCTGATTTTTAAATGGAAAGGGTTTTGAAAGTGAAGGTGTACACATCTGTATTCATCAGTCAGACAGAAACAGTAGGATTCCTGCATCCTCACTGCTTGAAAATAATCAAGAGATTATTCAGACTGATTTGTAGCTGAAATAAAGCAGTGGAGGGTGAGAGCAGAAAGTGTGATTCTCTACAACTTTTTCGTGTTGGCTACATGCCTTAAATTCATACCATGGTTAAAACAGCATAGATGATTTTGCAGACACATTATGAAGTTTGAAGATTTCAAGCAGTTTACATTACTTTCACCGGGATTTCAACCCCAACCTAAGGATTGACATGCAGTTTACCTCTGAGCAAAAAATACTCAAGTTATTGGGTTACTTTTTTTTACTTTTTACACTGGGGAACAACCCAGGCGCAAAACCAGGCGATCCGGCAAAGAGTGAGGGGATCACAGAGACTTACACATACAAAGGAGGCACAGGTAATTGGGAACAAGTGAAACACATCGGGGCAGGGCAGACAATCACAGAAGCTGTAAAAAGAATGTAAAACAACAAACAGACACACAAGGAAATAATTAAGTAAAACAGGAATAAAGAGTCCAGAGAGTAATTTAAGGGGCAAATCGTTGCAGATTGGAGATTTGCAACCTAAAATTGGTGATTTCGATTTAGAAATCCCTGGTCACTCCAGTCATTTGAATCAAAAGGGGGTAAGGAGCAACAACTTAGGTAATTGCCAATATTTGAAAAAATCATACACTTTGCTTTTCTAAAATAACAACAGCAGTGTGGATTACCTTTCACCAGTCATTGAGAAGGCCGAGCCTGTATCAAGATTTAAAAGATTAACATGCTAAAAGTCCAATTTATTATGCACATTAATAAAAGTGTGTAGTAGAAAGAAGGACAAAATGGAATTGTGAATAATTTTATGTACCATACACATGTCTGCATACCCCCTCCATTCACCAAATGAGAGGCCCATGGTCTATATTATCAGAGAGAAATTGGAATTAACCAGTCAGAGAGAGTAGAGTGTGTTTGTGTACCATTTCATTATTTTCTTTGGGAATGTCCTTCCTGCGTTCCTGAAGATGACGTGTTCTAAAACTTTCTTTTTACCAATCTAATACTTGAATGAGACTCCACATTAACTTCTGTAGCTATTGTGTGCTTCATCATGCTCTCATCGGTAGCTTTCTGTTTACAAAACATTTTCAAAAATTTCCTAGATTTCACTTTCAGTGGTACACTCTATGCTGAAATTATATTAGGTATTAATACAGCTGTGTTTTGCCTTTCAACAGCATCATAACAGCATTATAACATCACAAAAAAGCAGGCAGTTATTACATTTTGATCACTTTTATCTCTTTCTAAGATGTGTAGATGTGTGTTGTTCTGCATGTTTGTGTGTCTGCTGGACAAAGTAAATTGGGAAACAAAGCAAGTTATTTATATAGCACAATTCAGAAACAAGGCAATTCACAATTTACAGAGGCATGGAAATACATTAAAAATAAAACATTGAAACTGCATTCAAAAACAAATTTGAATTATTAAAAACATTTAAATAAGGCACATTAAGATTGCAAATAATCAAGTAAGAAACTTTTTCTTTAAAACAAAAATCTTTTTCTCCTGAGTATAAACTCTTTTATTAACCTCTTTACCTTACAGATGCAAATGCACCACAGGTTCTGATTATTCAGCTTCCCTGGAACATTTCCCCTACAGGTGCAATCTCACTGTGGGTTTTATCTGCACCGGATATAACACCCCAGAAATAACCACCTTTTTTGGTGGTGCTTTTGGAGTAACACAAACACACAAACACTCCACACAGGTCTTTTCTTCCAAAATAATCAACCAACGACTGACATCAATATTAACAGTAT